ACCGATAAACAGAGCAAAGAAACAAGGGAGAGCACAGCCCAGTCACCCTAAACAGCCTCATAAAGCGCTTCAACCATAAGCGCTGGTCTTGGAGCTGCTGTTCTGTCCTCCTTAGGAAATTTCTTCATAATAAATTGATGCCCGAGTTATTTGACGAATCACTGCTCAGTTATTAAACCATAAATCATTGTTCCACACCCCAAAAAGGTAAAGAAGAATCAGAGGAATGGGGTTTCCTTCCTTTAAGGAGTTAACAAAAAGACTTCATCGAGGGATTTGGAGCGGTATTTGGCCAGCGTGCTGGTGGGGAAGGTTGACAGGTTTTTTGGCAATTCAGTGGCCTCACGTGAAAGCATGAAGATGAGCTCTCCATGGGAAGGCAGAGGAGGAGGAGGATAACACGAGGCAGCTGCTGTGCACGGCCGAGCTGCCCAAACGGTGGAGGGGACGCTCGAGCCAGATGACAGGAGCACAAATAACACCTCTGCCCACTCCGTACAGACCGGCTCTGCCCCTGCGCCGAGAGGTGCCTCGTACCGCTCCGGCTGAAGGCGCCATCCTGCGCTCTGCCGTGCGGGGAAGGGGTAGGGGAGGGGTAGGAGCGAGCGTGTCTGGGCACATTGCAGAGGGAGAGCTGGTGTCTGGAGGTCCCTTTTGCAACGCCATGGGGTCACTGTAACAAATCCTAACCCTATTTGGGAATAATTTCTTATAAACCAGGTGCAGAAAGATGAAAGCCCTTGTTATAATGGCATCAGAAGCCTGAACTAACTGTATCATGCATAGCGTTTCCCACCAATCCCTGACCTGGGAGCACTGCAGGCACATTAAAGCCATTGAGTTCTCCTTTGGGCAAACTCCTGCCTTCCTTACAAAACTGCAAGTCTAATCTCAGCTTATTTTCTTTTTCACTTCAAACAGGAAATCTAATCTCTCCGACTCAAAGATGCCTTCCCTGTATGCCTCGTGGACGCTATCGACCTCCTCGCTCTCCTCCCAAGGCAGCATCTCGGAAAACGGCCCCCGACAGAGCAGACCCTTGAAGCCAGCGCTGCTGCCCGTGCCCGTCACCTCGCCCGGGAGGACCGCGGCTGTGGCGGCCTCGGGACAAGCATCGCTGCGGCGCGGACGTGGCAGCACGAGGAAGAGTAAGTGCTTTGGGGGGGTCTCTGGGAGGGAGAAGCCAGATGTGTCCCCCGCAGACCATACTGGCTGCCTGCAATTAGCACACGAGCCGTAAACGAGAAGTGAAGGTGAGCAGGAGAACGGCAGCTCTCCCGCGTGGTCCCTGCCAGGGCTGAGCTCCTGCGTCAGGCTGAGCGCACCAGCAGGGACCGGCCGTTCCCTGGGGCGCTCGCAGCGTCTCCCCCGGGCGCGAGCTGGGCCACGGGTGTCCCCGGTGGACACGTTGGGTTTTCAGACGCGGAGTGACTGTGCTGTCACCCTGCTGCATCCCCCTTGTGAGACCGGCTCTTGGGAAGGGTCCTTCCAAGGGGCCTCGTTACAGCCGGGCCGAGTGCCGGGGACAGGCAGCGTTATCCCGCCGCTGGGCAAGGGGCTGCGGGCGAAGGAAAATGCGGTTTCTTAGGCTGAGCGTAGCAAAGCCTTCCGCCACCTCTGTAGATTAACTCTCCGGGCTGGCAGGGGAGGGGGCGAAGTGCCCAGGGGGGTTAATCCCCTGCAAAGGTGGAAAGGAAGAGGCAATGCCAGCTGGCGCACCCGGACCACCACTCAAACGTGGCTGAAAATGCATCGGTTAACCAAGAACATTTAAACAATGGAGTAACGGGGGGCCGCTAGACATAGAGGTATCCTCATGCGGCAAACAAAGAAAATGAAATACAAACTCCAGCAAGGTAAACGTGAACTGTCCCGAGACAAAAGGGACTTCTGCGGTGATTTTGGAAAACATAAATCAGCAAATCCAACCTTTGAAATCCGCAACAACCAGCAACAGGGCACTAAAACGGGAGCTGAAATGTCGATACACAGATACGGGGAGAAATAATCCCTAATTACACACACACAACTTTGGGCCCTAAATTAGCTTTTATCAGTCTGGAGAAAGGTTTTGGAATTGTCACCGATGGCTCTTTGAGAGCTCCAACTCCATGCTTAGGAGCAATTTTAAAAAGGTTACTTTAGAGTATTATTAGGAATTGTTAAGAAAGGAACCCAGAACAAGAGAGTAAAACTCAGCTGTGCCATTGGGGGAGTTCTGGCGAACTCATATCCTGAACACTTCACGTGTTTCTGATAACTCAAAGAGCATATAGCAAAATCAGGAAAAGAATGCAGAAGAATGACAGAGAATAGAATAATTTCTATTTCAGGAGAAAAAAAAATCAGCTTGGAAATATCTGAGATGCATAAAATCATGAATAGCCTGAAGGTGAGAAAGGATACTTCACGAAAAAAAGAAGGAGTTACCCAGTGAAATTGTGAAGTCAAAAGCCTTGATGTAGCAGAGTGCTAGAGGGAAAAAACCTCCGTATCAGCTCTGCTTTTCTTCTCCTCCTCCGCAAAGATCCACTATGCGCTGCTCACTTGTGCACGCCCGGGGCTGTCGGCAACACCCTCCCGGGGATGGAGGGCAGGAGAGGGAGCCTCAGCAAACACCTCCGGCCAGGCTGGCAGCGCGGCCGGGCTCCCTCTCCACTGGCTTCCCCGGCTATGCTTATTTTGGTAATTTCAGTTTTTTTGACTCAGCACAGAAAAACTCTTTGTGAAGGCTTATGCAGAGCTTAGTTGGTTGTGTTCTGTCCAGCGTGGCTGGCAAGGTTTAGCTTCAGCCCATACACGCTGCTTCGGACCACATGTCCAAGTGTGTTTGGGCAACCAGCGGCACATCCTCCAGCGCTGGCACGGAGCTGCTGCTGGCGGCCGGCGGTGCCCTGGCACGGGGGAGGCGCGTTGGCAAGGGCCACGGCAGTGTCTTTACACTCAAAATCGGATTTATCTTAAAGAGTTCTCATACCATAAAGGACTCATTCCCATGGTGGCTCTGTTTAAAAAAAATCAATCTTGTGAACAGCAAAAAACTGCAGAAGAAATACAGTGTGTGGTTTCCCGCGCAGCAGACGGGGAGGCAGCCATGGGATGGAGCAGCCAAGCAGGACCCACAGCCGGCGGGAGGGCTCGGGAGCGGGGCTCTGCTGGCAGCTCCCGTGGCAGGCAACGAACCGGAGCAGGAGGAGGGCAGGGGGTGCCCCGGGACCCAGAAGGACCCGTCATGGGGGGTGTTCTCCAGGGGAGGTTTCTGCTCAGGGGGGTGATTTCTGCTCCCCTGCAGCACATGCTGGTGGCAGATGTCCTGTGTCACCCAGCGCAGTCACCCCCCTCACCCCTGGGTCACCCCCCTCAGCCCGGGGGGCCGTGCCTGGTCCTACCCGCTCCCCCCGGCGCTCCCCCCGGGCAGCTGCGGCTCCTCGCCTCAGACCTGGGCAGGAAAACCCAACCGCATCCCGCTGAGGCTGCGCAGCCCGGCGTCTGGGGTTAGTGCGTCTCCGTGTTCACAGCCCAGGAGAAGGCAGGGCCGGCTCTCGGGAACCGCATCGGTCCTAACCAAGACAGAAGAATTCCTGTGGCATAAGTTGTGCAAATACAGGGGGCTGAGGGTTTGGGTTTGTTGCCTCAGCAGTGTTGAGGCAGGCCACGGAGGCCGATGGTGCGACTGCACACCGGTCCCGGAGCATGGCGATCCCCGGGAGCTG